TATTTTATTACAGAAAACACCCATTTGAAAATTTATACATTGTAGTTTGAATAAGCCGTTCATCGTTACRAGTTGGACGCMATTTTGTAAATAACACATACTCGAATTAACATGTTTTTTAATAATAACCAATTAAGATGAATGAAATTTGAATAAATAAAACAAACTTTGTAATGCAGTGAATCCAAGCATGTGTATCGTCTAGCGTGTCATAGGGGAGTGTCTGCCTGAAAGTCACTGTTGGTAGTCAATATGGATGTTATTCTCTGATGAAAGACACGGAGGAAAAGAAACACAAACTATCGTCAGTGATCTTCATTTAGAGAAAACAATAAGTAGAACATTCTGCACTCGGAGAATATCGCTTTTCTAAGTAAGTATGTTTGATCTGCTAATGGAATATGCGCAAAAACGTGTGAAAACGCACTCCTTGGCTATGTRCACAGTCCCCTTYCCCAAGTATTCAAGAAGATTCTGSTYGGGGCAAAAGTGATGGCGCTCTGCACGGCGGATGGGTCTGCCGATACTCAAGGTGTTCTGGTCATGCCATTGCGTCACTCACTATTCCAAAAGTAGCCTACTCACTGCTTTGATATGATAAAAAGTTGAAAAGAGAAAATCTACAGAGGAAAAGAAAACAACAGCAAAGAAAAAGAATAAAAGAACAAGAAAAAAAAGAAAGAAGAAAAAAACAGGAAACAAAAGAAAAAGAAACCAGAAAAAAGAAGAGAAATTCTAGCAGCTAGGCTCGAACTGAGGGCTTTCACTTCAGTAGAGGATGTACCCCCCCTGGCATACATAAGAAAAAATGAAAATAAAAAGCTAAAAAGTTGGGACGATTCCCCCGAGACATTCTATGAAGCTGAGGCGGCGAATCGGCTTACGTTACGGTTAGAGATTTCGGCCCTTCCACGCTATCCCGAAAGTGAACATAAAACTTAGTCTTAACCAAAAGGCCAGGGAGTGAGGGGGTAGCCGCCCACTAGAGCATACCTTTAGCTACCCTCTTAGACCATCGTACTATGAAGACACTTATAGATATCTAATATCTAATTGGGGTAGTCTATTCGGCGAAGTTCTATGCTAATATATGACGTCACCAAAATCCTTAGGGATCAGCGAGCCAATCAGAGCTCAGCTCGGGAATTAGGAAACGATAAATGCTTTGCATAATCATCATGATCATTCTTCAGTGATTTATTATTTGATGAGGGTGGGGTGGGTGCCGAGTGATGGTGTGCGGCCGAATGCCGATGTTCGATGTAATATGACGGCTTTCACCGAGCTGTTCAATTGTTGTTATTGTTTTCCAAATCATCACAGGAAAAGGTGTACAGTTAGTTACACTCGTTAGTTAGACTCGGATGTTCCAAATTTTCGTTCTTTATGATATAAATAAAGTTTACAAATGGGTTAATATTAATCATCAGTAATTATTAAATGTAAATATAGTGAATGTTAACCAGACTGAATAGGATGGATATTCCGTATAAAATTAATAAAGAATGGTAAAAAAACTTAACAATCTTTGTTTTTTATTGGAAAACTATAATCAGGCCGAATTATAGTAAAATACAGTTTGAATGATTTAAAGGCCTTTAAACTTTTTATCGAAGAAAGACCAAGAAAACGTTCGAGAATTTGATCATGAATTTATAAGTCAACAGATACAGAAAGATGTCTTTGACTACAGCTAAATTAAAGCTTTAATGACCGCTCYATGTCGTGATAAAAGTGTATTCGAAGTTACTAAATCACTTGATGATCTGAGTCACATGCAGTCCTCGACTGCCTATCTTTTTGAGATCCCATTCAGTAATTCCAGTGGGATTGCTGTGTTATTGAGCGCGCAATTAATTCTGGGATTTCACGCCTGCGCAGTTTTTACCTACTCAGGAATCAGTCTGCCGTTCTCTTCCAAATCATGGATTTATCAAATTCTACATAATTTCTTAACTCCAACAAAACAAGAGGGAATCTCTTCACTTGTAGTATCAAATGAGCTTCTTTGGAATTCCAAATAACAGGTTTTCGCTTGTGAAACAGCTCCAATTATTTTGCTTTGTGTTGTGCTATGTCTCGACATGAAGGTACGTTGTAAAGCTTTTAACACTCTTACTTTCCAAGCATTATTTTTGTGCTTGTGTATTCGTACATCTTGGCACCACGTTGTTATATATATGATATGATACTTATGTACTTTTTGAGGAAGCTTAAGATATTAGGGAATGGGATATTTTATAGTTCTCGCATAAACAGCAATCGGTCTCAGACAGGGAAAARCTTCATTTCCGTTTTATTCATCTGCCTTAATCCTTGTGCACTGTCGTTRTTGTTGTATTGTCGGACACCCAATTGAGATTCATTGCCGGTTTRATAAAAGTATGTCCAGGGAATCGTTGGTYCAGATGTTTGAATCGTCCAGTTTTGCTTTCAAATGACATAACAAGTGCCAAGTRGAAGTCATCTTTGATAGTTGCAGTTTCATTTCTTGGTATTTTGGTTGTTCTAGGTGTTAGCTGCGACTCGTGTAGTAAAGGAAATTTTAGAGGAAAACGATTTAAATGCTTAATATGTTATGATTACGACCTGTGCTCAACTTGCTACGAAAATGGAGCCACAACAACGAGACACACGTCGGACCATCCCATGCAATGTATTTTGACTAGAGCTGACTTTGGTAAGGTTGTTAAGTGTTTGTTTGTCAAGTTGCCTTTTGGTTATTCTCAAACTAAATTATTTTGTTTGATATTGTGATTATTTCAAGGTATTTGGGTGGAACAAACATCAAACAAAATGTAAAAAATATTTCTCATTTTTGTCATGATTTGTTAATATTAYAATGTATTTATTAGGATTTGGAATAATGTTTTACTTTATTGTTTTACAACAATGACAATTAACTACTAACCACGATAAAATGTTATAAATTGAAGGTATTATTAAACTCACAAAATTTAATTGTAAATTATATAATTGAAATTATATAATTCAATTTGATATCTGCTTTATTTACCTCTCTGTAATTATAAAAGTTAGATAGGGATTGCTGGAATTCAATAACAAAGTGTTATCAGCGCTATGTCCTTGAGAAACATGACAACTTTACATTAGAGGGAGAGTGAAGTTTTCATGAGGAGTYATAAAACAACATAAACTTCAATGTTCATGTATAGAGGAGCAAAGCCATTATATACAAAAAGAGTTTAATTCTTTCAAATACTGATTTGCAAAAAATACACCTTTTCTAGTATTTTGTACGATGATATTGAGTTAAGATTCATTTTTAGTGAATGTTGCTTATATCTCTATAGAACTGTATTATGGTGGTGAGAACTTCACAGCTGATCAGCCACAGGCTTTTACTTGTCCATACTGCAGTAAAATAGGTTTTACAGAAGCWCTTTTACAAGAACATGTGACGTCAGATCACACAGATGCTTCGACGGAAGTGGTAGGTGTGCAGTTGATAGAGTTTGTGGAGAACACTCACTCACTTTGAATGGTGGGAACTAGCGGCAAACTAGTACAGGTTGCATGGGTGTTTCTAAAGAAACAGCTGTGCGAAAAGATAAATTTTTATTTCTCTTCTCTGATGGAGGATTAACGTCGGAAATATCAGTAGTCGTTTCACCTCATTTTTTACGGTGTTAAAATTTATCTTTTTGCACAACTCATTTATTCACGCAATTGAGACTGGACTTGTTCTGATTTCAATAAGTTCAGATTCAGTTTCTCAGGCATGCTTGTACATGTATTATAGGTAACTGGTACACCTTCCCGTCAGAAGTGATTCTTATCTACTTTATGTAATATATACAATATGAGCGGGCGATCTGTATGAGGATTTAAGACAGCGAGCTAAAAGCGAGCTGTTTTAAACCTCATACAGATCGCACACGAATATTGTATATTACTTATGAAACGTTGAGGTAAATTAGCTCAGGTTTTAAAGAAACTTTGAAAAAGAATTTAATCTGACCGAGAAAATCAGAGTTTAAGGTTTATGCAAATGAACAAGAATCTGTATGTAATATACAAATCTCTTCATGAGCTATGATTTCTATTGCATATTGCCTTATGAATATTAATGAGTTTTATAAGTTGTTTATGATTTGTTTTCCTGAGTTTATTTGTTACAGGCGCATCATATCCACATGCAAATTTTTGCCATATAAAGAAATAAAAATTAATATTATTGTTAATGTWATTATAAAATCTATACAGGATTCATTGTCTTGTTTTATTGGTAAAACATTGACATATTCACCACATGCTCCTATAACTCCACATGCTGTGATATTATATTACTGCTATAAGCAAACCACAGCGATTCATGTCTTCTTTTTATGTAATAATAGTAACTTTAATCCTTACAGGTTTGTCCAGTATGTGCGGCACTTCCTGGTGGTGATCCAAATCATGTAACTGATGATTTTGCTGCTCATTTAACCTTAGAACATCGAGCACCCAGGGATATAATATCCTTTACGTAATATATACAATATGAGCGGGCGATCTCTATGAGGATTTAAAACAGAGAGCTCAAAGCTAGAGGTAAACGTTGGTAACTTGCTCAGGTTTTAAAGAAGCTTTTGAGAAAAAATTCAATCTGACCGAGAAAATCAGAGTTAAAGTTATGCAAATGAACAAGAATCTGTATGGTGAATTTACAACTCTCTTCATATGGGTTATGATTTTTATTGTGTTTTGCCGTGTTTTGCCGATAAAATGATGATTTCTTTCATCTCCTTAGGATTACGTGTAGTATTAGTTTATAAATGTCATTTAGTCCTTGACAATTATTTACGATGAATCCGGTAGYGGTAGGCAGGTTAGAAGGATGTTCCATCCAGGTCGTGGGGTGGGGGGTCCAAGACCTCCAAGACCAAGAACAGGAGCCATGAACTACAGTAGTTCCAACAGTGGTTCTATCGGACCCTCTTCATCATCAGTATCATCTGCGTCAAGTTTTAGAGAAAGCATGGATCCTATAGCAGAGCTGTTGTCTCAGTTATCAGGTGTAAGGCGAGCAGCACAACAAGCACAACCTCCAGTACAGTCTCAGTTGCAGCTAYTACAACAACAGCTTCARCTYGAAMGACAACAGGTTCAACAGACAAGAGAAAGATTAGAGAGATTACCTCAACGTAGGCAAGCAGCAGCTAACAGCAACCAGACACCTAGCACCCCAGCAAAYCAAGAGAARAGTAATTCTTCAAATTCACAATTTTTGTTATCAAGGTAAGAAGGTTACATTGCATAAGTATGATTTTATATGAAAATCATTTTTTATACATTGCTATTTTATAAAAATAAACCATAATCTTAATGTTTATGATTACTTAACAAGCTTGTGTATGGCTGTTAGGTTGAATTACCGGTAAAAAGAAGTTACTAGACAGACTTGTCTATCCAGAAGTAAATGAGACCTTTTGTGAGGGGTTTTCCAAAATATTTTATTACAATATTGGATGACACAGGGATTGGTTGCTGTCTGAACAGATCAAAATAATGGAATGGTTGCTGTCTGAACAGATCCAAATAATGGAATGGTTGCTGTCTGAACAGATCCAAATAATGGAATGGTTGCTGTCTGAACAGATTGAAATAATGGAATGGCTGCTTTCTGAACAGATCCAAATAATTGAATTCTCCTTGGGTCTGGTCAGACAAGYTTGCAATGTTTTGTAACCATCATTAAAAGCAAWRTTTTTAAACCAGAATTTTGCAAATAAAAATTAAGCTCTATAACAGAATGTATTCAATTTCTTATTAATAATTTATTGTTTTCTTTTCTGACTTTATGGATTATTTAATTATTTAATATGATAATGTGTATTGTAGAAGAAACAGCAAAAATAAGATCCAGTGGAGGAGTCTTCAGGATATTTTTATTTATTTTTTTTTTTCAGGATATACTGTAATTAAAGATTACTGCACCATTCATTATATATTTTATTTCTGTAACAGAGCAAATGAGCCAGCGCTGTCAGACAGTGATCAAGAAGAACTAGAAGTAGAAAGAGCAGATCGTTCTTTGTTTGTTCAAGATTTAATAGTTTCAAGTCTTGGTTCTATATCAATAAGGGGAGRAGACCCCAGTCATAAACGTCAGGAAATAATAAAGGAATTTTGTTCACTCCAAGAAAGCCAAGAAGGTGCGTTTGGAGGCGGGGAGACTCTGCACAGCAGTGTACCTGAGAGTACATCAATATTAGAAACAAATGAGGACATTCAAGTAATATCTTTAGAAACAGAAGATGATAAAGATTCCTAACAGAARATTTGAGTCACTTAACAGACAAACACTCGTTGTCATGTACTATTAACAAGAACTTGAAACCTTTTTATGTAGAATTATTGAATGCTTGTAAAGATACAAGAACCATGTTGAACAGAATGCAACCATTTTGCTAAACTTTGTGTAGTTTCTGTTGTTGATAATGACGGCATGATTACCAAAGAGGTAGTTGTTAGAATGTCTTGTAATATTATTGTAAATGAGATGAGAAGGTAAAGAAAACCTTATATCAGTCAAATATATGGTATTATGTACAGAGACAAGTAAAGAATATGTGCCGGTGTTAAAGTGAAATTATTAAACCAGTGAAAAATAGTTTAATAGTCAAAACAAAAGACCAACAAAACATGCAATTAACTAGTATTGTGTAGAGTGATTTTYGCCAAACTGTAAAACAAAAAGTAGCTTCTAGATTCACGACTTTCCATACCCAGGTTCAGTGACCACAAACAAAGCATTGAAACGAGGTGTCAAGGAACACTGCGCACAGATCTTTTCTTTTATGTTCACTGTACCTTGACGCCTCGTTTCATGCTTTGTGTGCAGTCACTGAATTTGAGTATGGAAAGTCGTGAATGTGATTGATAGAGTGCATTTTACATCTGAAATCTAATTAGTTTAAATGAGTTTATAGGAACCACTCTACCATTTATTAGCTATCTTAGTGTGTAATTCACTACATCTACGGTATTTCACTGGTTTTTAAGTTGTATAAGTTTTAGTCCTCACAAGTATTCACTAAATCAAGTTCATTCATGACTGTGATTATAATACTTAAACATRCAACAGACTGCAGAATCAAAATGACTCTTGTTGACAAACTTTTTTAGTATATTTGCACACTGATTTATGTAACAGTCCCTTGRAGTTTTTGCAAGTAGATTTGCTAGATCATTTTCAAAGTCTCCTTGAACAACTTGAACATCTGTGTTTCTAGATTCGTTGAATAAAGAAATTTCTTTCTTGAGTTCTTCAAGAAAGAGTTTTCTCTTAGTGTTTTGYACTTCAGCCAAACTCTTCATTTTCTGTTTGCTGTATCCTTCATCTGAAAAGGAGAAAATAAAAGATATCAAAGCAGTTTTATATGGTTGGGTTCCAATGGAAAAGACTATTCATTCTCCTGTGAGTAAAGATCTATTTGGTCCCCCAAATGAAGCTACAGATTTGCAGAGGAGTCGATCTTTACTAAGTTGTTATCCAAAGAAAACTGTTGTCTTCAAAAGAGTTCTRGCAAATAGCCTCTAAAAAATGGAGAATCTTGCAAAATTTGTGTTTTACCTTTATAAGCCTTCATTTGATTAGAGATTATTTTCCTAAGTGTTTGGTCAGTTTGATACAACACATTGGCAAGAAGGTCGGCTCTTGATTTCTCCTAAAAAATTATCACATTTTATAGTCAGCAAAAGAGAATCAACTTCTGTTCTATTTTAAACTTGTCTATTGGTCCCATCCATATCTGGTGTTATTACATAAGGACAAATGATAATTTTGTAACAAACCAGAAACACGCAAGTCAAGTTTACCTAAGTTTCTAAAAACAATTTTAGAGTTGGGCTCCCTGTGGAGAGGAAAACAGTGTTCCCTTCACCTCCCTCCATTAGATTCAGAGACAAAGTGCATTCAAATGACCTTGAGTTTTATGTCTTCTTCTTCCAACGGTGGTACAGGATTTTCTGCAGACTTTCTTATTAATTCATGAAGCCTTTGTCTGCAGAAGTGATAATAATCAACAGTTATTTTTGCTTCAAATGGATTTAACTTTGCTGTACAGTAGGTAATGTTTTAACAGGACTMCAAGTGTAATCTACTGTTGTGTTCTTGAGAGCACAGAACAAGAGACAGACTTTCTGTGGATGAGCACTGCATAGCAAACTAAGGAGKGCTGGTCTGTTGCCATGGGGATGGGAGAACTTTCTTATAAATGGGGATGGTCTTGCAACATGCTACTGCAACAGATTCACCCTTGGAGCTTGCTTTTAGGGCCTTTATCAGTTTTAAGAATTCACACCAATTGAGTTTCTGGTGACTACATTACAGTCTGTAATCACTTTCTACTTACAATATACTTGAAGACAGCTCATGTCTTTCAATGTGGTTCARTTTTAAAGTGTTAGATTCCCAGGGGTATTTATCTGGTGAAGGCTCTTCCATCTTGGCTGCCATGGTAATAATGGTGTTGGTGTCGACAGGATTTATTCTYAAATTATTTGTATTTATAGCGGTGTCAAGAGAACAGTCAATAAACACTTGTGCATATCCAAGACTGTCTGGAAAACGAWTATTGTTAACTGCTCAGCTGTTGGCATCGACAGGGGAACTGTTGGCGTGGATGGGGGAGGGGGGTAAAGGAGGAGTTCATGGAAGCTTTTAAACTTACATTTTCTTGCAAGTACAAAGTATTCGTGACGCATGCTTCTATAGAACATATTATCATCAATCAGGAAGACATGGCAAGCTTTAGCCCAGCTGTARGAGAAAATCCCATTTTAAGAACAGATGAAGAAATACAAAAATTTCATCAACTTTACTGACTTTTGTGTTGATGTTCTTTCTSTTGACATCTGAGTCTTCACAAAATCAAGCCAAAATTCATCAAAAGTAGGCAAGCCAGGGTATGKTTCTGCATCATTYTCAATCGTCGYTTTGTGACCCAAATACTGAACGATGAGTTTTTCAACACATTTGTTTACAAGTCTTCTGRAATACTTCCACGATAAACTGTCCTTAGTGTCGAGATTTGAAGGAATATGATCGTCATAACAGACATGAAATATGTGCAGATCTGAAACTTCATCTGAATTCTTCAGGAGGTTTGAAAGATGGGTTTTTCCACTAGCAGGAAGGCCGCATAACACCATCAAGACGGCCGCCATCTTTGTTTACAACAATAGTAGCCGAGCCTTGTGGAGTCACGTGCATGGTTTGCGCAAGGCAAAGGATCATCGCGTGAAGTATGGCGGACAACAGGTGATTTCCATACTGTACTCAAGGGAAGAAAGAGGAAAAATGCCGGTTTTATCGAAACCGTACGTTAAGCTAGCTGGTGCAACAGCCCTAGTTGCAAGCACTGCATTTGTTGTAAAGGAATATGGACCACATCTATGYGCTAAGGTCAAGTCAAAGTTCTTGTCATCAACAGGRGAAGAGATGGCAATTCGCCCATCTGATGCCGGCGGCAAATTAAAAAGCAGCTTTGCTCTGAACAAGGAATTCTTGAGCCAGTTACTCAAGCTACTAAAGATTGTTATCCCTGGTTTATTTAGCAAGCAATGTGTTCTCTTGTTTTTCCATTCTGGTTGYTTAGTRATACGTACTTTCTTGTCAATTTACGTGGCGACTTTGGATGGACAAGTTATTAAGTCTATTGTACAAAAAAATGTACGYAAGTTTGCTCTCCATTTGATGAAGTGGATTATCGTAGCAATCCCTGCTACATTTATCAACAGTATGATACGATACCTTGAGAATAAACTTGCTCTTTCGTTTCGCACTGAATTGGTAAACTTCGCCTACAAGAAGTACTTCGCWAATCAAACGTATTACAGAGTTTGTAATCTTGACAGTCGACTGGCCAATGCTGACGAATGTCTAACTGAAGATATTAGAATGTTCTGTAGTTCAATAGCTCATCTTTATTCCCATCTAACCAAGCCRTGTCTTGATGTGATTGTTATAGTGTGGACGTTGAATAAGATGGCTAAGAAAAGAGGATCGTCTTGGCATCTGCCTCTTACCATTGCAGGTGTTGTGATTTATGTGACAGCTATCACTTTGCGTGCACTTTCTCCCAAGTTTGGTAAGATGGCAGCTGAGGAATCCAAGCGAAGGGGTCAATTGCGTCATCTTCATTCAAGGGTCATCACAAATGCTGAGGAAGTGGCTTTCTACAGTGGCCATAGGGTAAGGGTTGTCATCATCATCATTATCATCATCATTATCATCATCATTATCATTATCATCATCATTATCATCATCATTATCATAGAGCGGATTTCGTATGAGTAGGAAACGGACGGTACTGTACTGTGACCGTAATCGTACTGTAACCAAATTCTAGTGCCCCATTGGTTCACCAAAATTGTGCAGGCCAGGTCCGGTAACTGTGCGGTAACCGTGCGGTAACGGTGTCCCACTCATAAGAAATCCACTCTAATCACATCATCATAAWCATCATCATCATTATGCTTTGACTATCAATAAGCAAACYTCTAAAACCATTTTTCAAAAGTGCATAGAGGTGATGTGCAGTATTGATTCAAAAAAGCATATTTTGAACTGATGGGAAAACCATTGAAACTGTGTAACTTTGCAAGGTAATGTAAATGTATATTTTGCTGTATTTTGTAGGTTGAACTTGCACTACTCTTGGATGGATTTAAATCCCTAGCCAAACAGATGGAACTGATTTACTTTAAGCGTCTTTGGTATATTATGCTAGAACAATTTCTTATGAAGTATGTCTGGAGTGCTGCTGGTCTGTGTATGGTTGCCACTAGTATTCTTTTGGGTTCTGGTAATAACACTTTCTAATCTTTCATCCTCACATAAAAAACATAAGTATCATTTTTTTTGGTATTGTAAAAATAATGTATCTAAATATAAATGAATGAATGTTGCTAAAACGTTATGCTTTTTCCATCTCAATAGCCATATTTTCTTTCAATGCTAATTAGGTTCTCCAGAAGAGCAAGCAACATTAGGAGARGATAATGGTGTTAGTGCAAGAGCACAGTCTATAACTACATCAAGACATCTGCTTATCTCTGCTGCTGATGCCATTGAAMGAATCATGTCTTCATATAAAGAGGTATTGCTTACTAATGGTTGACATGTTTTCAAATTGACCCTCTTTAATAGTGAAAAAAAGTTAACACATTCACAGTGACCAGATGATCAATATTTTTGTACATTGTGTTTTTTCCTTACAGATAACAGAGCTAAGTGGCTACTCTCACAGAGTCTCTGAGATGTTGGYTATATTTGAGGATTTAGAAAAGGGTCATTGCAAGCGCATTGCTGATAAACCAGACAAAAATACAATTGCAGTGAGTGGAGGCAAAGCTGGCGATGTTGTACAACTTGATCAACTACCAGGCGGKGATGTTACTGATACTGATGGTGACATTGTTCTCAAAGATGTTGCAATAATCACTCCATGTGGAGATATTGTGGTTACTAATCTGACATTTCAGGTATTGTATAAAACAGCAGTAATAATCATCACTACCTCCAGCATTATTGTATRTTAATGATTAATAATTATTACATGTAGTTGCAGCCAGGTATGCATTTGCTGATCACAGGCCCCAATGGGTGTGGCAAGAGCTCCTTATTCCGTATATTAAGTGGTCTGTGGCCAGTGTATATGGGTCATCTAGCCAAGCCGCCACCAAGTCACATGTTCTATATTCCACAAAGGTATTTGATGTCAGTTTGGACAGATGATTCACCTTTGATTTATAAAGGAAATAGTTCAGGGCAATGCTTTTGCTTAAGGAGGATACATAGTATGCAATATGCTCTGTAAAAAATTATTGTATCCCCCTATATCCCAAAAAACAATGTTGTCTGAAAATGTTTTGACATATTGCCTGTGCCACATCTGTAATCCATTTGTGACACAGGCTAAATGTCATGGGAACTTTTCCAAGAAACAGATGGCAATATCATTCACAATGAGTAACAGCAATTAGGAATTGTGTAGTTTCAGATCTTTGGGCAGTATTTCTATTTATATTGTGTTTATCATACAAGATTTATTTTTTTTTAAATCACCATGAAAGACTGCAAGGAGACTATTCTCTCTCTCTCTTTCTGTAACATAGTTGTTTCTAATAACATAAGTTTGAATCCCCTCYGAAAGTCATCTGTCTTTTCTTACTGCCAACTTTCATGCATTTTCAGGCCATATATGGCAATAGGTTCACTGCTTGACCAGGTCATATACCCTGACAGTGTGTGTGACATGAAGAGCAAAGGCATCACATACGACGACCTGGAGAAAATTCTTTCTACAGTACACTTGCAACATGTTGTTAAGAGAGAAGGAGGTATGTTACATTTCTTCATTTATTATTATTGTATAATTCCTTCCATCCACATTTTCAATCATTCATTATCATTCCTACATGATTTCTCTCATTCATTCATACTTTTCTTTGTTTATTAATCCAGGCATTCATTTAGTTTTCTATTTCTTCATTAATATATTCATCCTTCCATCCCTCCACCCATCTAGTTATCTATCAACCTTAAATTCAAATGCACACCCATCTATTAGTTCTTTCATGTGTTCATAAGATGACATGAGGGTGATATTAGGGTGAGATAGAGTTAAGGTCGAATTAGGATTAAGGATTAAGGTTAAATTAGGATTGAATTAAGCTTGGTTCAGTGTCATAATATTCATACATAAATTATTCATTTTTCATTTGTTCATTCTTCCATTTCATCAATATGATGTTTAATCTATATGAATAATCAGGTTGGAGTACTGTGAAAGAGTGGAAGGATGTCTTTTCTGGAGGAGAAAAACAGAGAATGGGAATGGCAAGATTGTTCTACCACAGGTATGTGATCCAATTGAAAAAGGTGAAATGATGGTACAAACTGTGGTGAAAGAAATAATGATTGTTGAAATATGATAATCTAAGTAATTATTACATGTAATTACACATAATTGTAAAAGGTTTATTCTTTCATCTTGGAAATCACTAAAAAACTTTCTATATTTTATCTTTTTTATCTGTATTAGACTGTCAGATAACATTTTACAGTAGTATTCAGTKCATGGCTTTGTTTTTTATTGAAATTATTGCTGTAATATTTTTTCATTTGTGCAGGCCCCAGTTTGCTCTGCTTGATGAGTGCACCAGCGCTGTGAGTATTGATGTTGAAGGCAGTATATTCCARGCAGCAAAAGATTGTGGAATCACTCTATTAAGCATTTCACACCGACCTTCGTTATGGTAAGCTCATCCTTAAATGCAGTGAAACTGTCTGCTGTGCAAGAGCAGTGTCCATTCTATATGKCATTTTGTCAAGATTGTATTTAGTCAAGACAAAGATGGGGGTAATTCCATGCCATGTTGAATTGACTGCTATGGGAAATAGAAATTCTACAGCTGTTTTGTTTTTAACCATATTGACTTAACTTCCACACCTAATCTTTATTTTACTTGGTAGTGTAGTGTTCCTGAAATTTTCTTCAAATTATTTTCATRAGCATTCATCAATGGATATTCATTTGTTCACAGGAAATATCACACTCATTTGTTACAATTTGACGGAGAAGGTGGATGGAAATGGGAAGAACTTGATACAGCCACTAGACTTAGTCTCAATGAAGAAAAGCAAAGACTAGAATCTCAACTAGCCGGTGTACCTGCAATGCAACGAAGGCTTAAAGACCTTTGTTCCTTGTTGGGTGACGACTCTGTTTTATGTAAATGAACAATAATATTCTTATACGGACACTGATATCTAAGTCATCATTTTCAAAGACACAAATAGTTACTTAACTTGCTAAACTACTTGGATTGTATAATGGTGACATTTTAGTGACASGATTTTATCAGATTCAAAGATATGTATTATCATTTTCAAACTTTTTTAGATTACTATATTCATACTATTATTATTATTACTTTATAATTCAAATAATTTATTGGATRTACTTGTGTACATGTACTTGTGCTCTTGTTGAGAATTTTATTATTATCATTATCTCTTTCATCATCATAAACAATATTATGCCTGACTCATAGCAATCACTATCAATAGCTTTCTACCATAAGCACTAGAAAAATTCTGGAATTTTCAGTGAAATGGAATTGAAATAAAAGAAAATAGATTTAACTACAGACTRCATCAGAAAAGATCTCTATTGTATATGCCAAACACGTACTAGTCTCAATCAATAGAATTAGAGTCATTTTCAYCWRTCTGTGAAACAWTTACTACTAGTCAGTGTTTAATARTAACTATTAGGGTGTAGTAGGCTRCCAAAAGGMAAAATCAAAASTGTGTTTCCCTAATTAGTTTGTCGCATATCATAAGTTAAACTATTCGGAGCTAATAGGGCGTAAYAGTATTAAATAGTACAAYTTGTATTTCACAGACAGATCAAAATGACGCTGAAAGCAAAAAAATAATAATTTTAATCTACCTTGATGCTTTT